TCCATCCAGCTTGGCAGATGATAACCTTTACAGACCGTTACAGTTTGAAGTGAGGCACGTTCACAGTACTTTGGTTCTGTTTTACTGTTATTCATTTTAATTTCAAGGAATTTTTTTATTATCATCTGTGTCTCATTTCGAATTATGTTGGACCCCTCTGTAGGTTGTTGTGTATAAAGTGTCCTCAGTGCAGAGTTAAACAAGATGACCTTGTAGGACATACAGGAAATATTTGATTTATTTTTTTAATATTAGATAAACTTTTGAATGTTACTACTTACTAGTCAGATGGTTCATAGCGCCTTGGAGATGTTCTTTAACAGGAGATCCGCTCCAGCTCTGCAGCATGGCCATCAGCATGGAAGAATATAGGAACAATTTGTCACAGAGCCAACAATATATAGTATACAGTGTCAGGTTTATTAGAAATAAACAAACTAGAGCATAGGTGAAATGCAGAAAAGAGAAATAGTAATATGGAAAACATACAAAAAAATCTTAAGATAACAGAATTCGCATTTTTTGATTTTACAGATGCATGATGATATATTGTGAAAAATGCATATGAAGTTATTTAATAAGCTTTCTCAGATTACCTGTGTTTCCTATATCTCTGTCAGCAGCTCCCATTAGAAATTTTCTTGGAACTTCCCCTCTGTTTTAGAGGGTTTTTTTTCTGACGCTCCTGAAATCACAGTACAATTTTTTATCAATATTAGTTTACAATGAAAAATCACTGTGTTTGAAACACAGTGGTTTAAATAGTTTCAGTCCATTTTAGCCAGCATGTAAGTGACGTCACCGATAGACTCTACAGTGCAGACTTTTAGGTTAAATTAATTAGCTTACTTCCATTTATCTATTGACAAATTACCAGCAAAACATTTACAAAGCTATCAAAACCGCTCATCTACACATAAGATGTGATTAAAAGCCCAAACTTTCATTAATAAGAGGTCAAATCTATAGTTAGCCTACCTCTTATAGTTACCCTGTATAGTTAGTTAACGGTTGTGATGCTAACGGTCTTTTTCCGAAGACACTAAACCATTTCTGTAAAGTAAATATTGAACAGAAACGTGTCATTTACATGTAAGAAAGTGCCAGGAAGAGTTGTATGTTTTATTTCTAACTCCCTCCGCTCCAGTTTAAGTGCGACTGGAATGTTCAACGCGCGTGCCCATTAAAACACGTCAAAGTTACCAGCGTTTATTTAAGTAGTACATAAAAGTCAGATAAAATGTCCTGAAACTTGATAACGTATTGTTTAAGTGGAGAGTAGGCCTACATCAAACTGTAAATTCAATGAGAATATGAAAGCAGTATTGCAAAACATAGGCACAATATGTAATTTTCGCTGCTAGAGAGAATTTCCGCTCCGTTATGTGAGGAAAAAAAGCAGCGCTGTTTTATCATACTAGATACGTTTGAAAGTTCTGTTATAATGCTACTCTGTGCGGTCATCACCGGTCTATTAAAACGCACAACATATTAAAGCGTCTTTGGTGTTTCCATGTTTTCTACAA